CCCCTCCCCCCTCCCCCCTCATTTGCTCCTCTCCTTGAAAAGCAAAAGAAAAGCCTCCCCGCACCTCCCCAAACCCCACCCCCTACCCCCAGATATAATCCACTCTGCAACCACTTACTTGGCTCCACAATCAATAAACGCTTTTGGTACCAGAGCTAGGAAATCAAAACACAAATTGTATTGGAAAAATCTGCTGTCAGGGACCTCTTCATAGTACTGAACAGCAATGATGTCAGCCTGGAGACTAACGTGTGCCTGATCCAGGCTGTGGTTTTCACAATTATTTCTATGCAACAGAGGCCTGGACTATGACTAAGGATGATAGAAGAAGAATCTCTGCCTTTGAGCTGTGATGCTAGAGTATTAAATATATCATGAACTGTGAAGAGAACAAATATGTTTGTCCTAGAGAAACCCACCTGCTCCCTGGAGGCAAGGATTTTAAATTTTGACCTGATGTCCTTTGGACATGTTGCAAGGAGGGACCATTCCCTGGAGAAGGCCATCATGTTTGGAAGAGTGGAGGGACAGCACAAGAGAGGAAGCCCCTGGGTGAGATGGATTGACTCAGTGACTAGGGAATGGGGGTAGATGTGTTAAAGAAATTGGCTCAAAATAGAGCAGGGTTCAGAGCTGTTATGCATAGGGCCACTATAAATCAACAGGTGATAAGATTTTATCCTAGACCCTTAGAGCACTACCATGCAATAGTAAGCAACAATTGATGTTAATACATTTTCCATCTAGAAAGATATTAAAGTATGGAGGATGACTTACTAATGGAAAACTATGTTTCTATCATTTAGCTAACAAACAACAGCTTGTTTTCATTTGCTTTTTGCTTGTATTATTCTAAAAATGTGGCAGAGAATATTATTTTTCATTTTAATTTTAAACTTTGAAAATTTTTGTTATTTATAAAATACACAGAAGAACATTTATCAATTCAACAACTTCCAAGTCAATGGCATGTAATTATATATTCTAACCTTTATTTTGTGTGTTGCAGTCCAGCAAATATGGTAAATAACCAGAATAAGGTAACATTACTTCAATATTGTTAATAATGAGAAATGAACAAGCAGGCTCAGCGGGTCCCAAAAATTTTCTACATATGAAAAATCATTTCATAAGCCCCGTTTATGTTTTATTTTTTATTTTGCTTTGGTATTTTCAAAATTGTGATTATATCAAAAATTTACAGAAAGTTTTTAGTTTTTATTCATTCATTGTTGCAGTTTTCTACTTTTATCTCCTTCCCCTTTCCCAATCCACTTTGTTGTGTTCCAGATTGTTGTCATGTATATAATGTGTGATCATGCATTTCTTTCAGACAGTTCTTTCCTTCATCTGTTTCAGTTTTCATTATTGACTCTTTTTCTGTTCTCTCCCACCCCAAGTCCTATTTTATAACAGTGGTGTTATGCAGTATTTGTCTTTTTGTGACTGTAAATTTTTTTTGTCACTTAGCTTTTTTAAAAAAAAAAATATATACTTTGTGATTCTAATAAAAATTTACAGAAAAGTTGGATTTTCATTCATTTATTGTTGCACATTTTCCTTCATCTCTATATTTCACTTAAAGTCTTCCAGGGTCAACCATGTTGTATAGTATTTTACAAGCTGTAAAAAGATCAAAGGCCAAGTGGGAATTCCACTTCACAGAGGAAATCTCTCTACATCCGTGGCACAAAACTAATTTCAATGAGATCAGACATGTCTCTCACATTCCCATGCCTCTTTCTACTCATATCATCACCGATCTCATTGCTTTGATGGGTTCCAAATCCGATGTGATAGTTCACAGACTACACAGAATCATAATGGAAAAGTCAAAAGGTTATAATTCAACATAGACACCTCAGTCTCAAGCCTCATGGCTCTAAGTGTTCCCAAATTCTCAGTTGTGCCAATGTTGGCTTTCCCCCTCAACTATGCAATAAATTTTTCAATCCTGCCAATACTGTCTCCTACCTAGCCTTCAACGTCTCATCTTCTCTCACATAAATTCTCAATTCAACCATCGCTACTGCTGCTGTCTGGAGTATGTCCTACATTTCACCAGGTTGTAGAGATCACTGTTTTCTGTCTGGAGGAAGAATTCTGTTCTTTGTACCAATAGTTGTTCAACTTATTGGTAAGACTAGCCAATCCTCTTATAGATTGTTGAGATAGTCCAATCCCCAATTCCTTTGTGGAATGGCAGATAGCCACTCCCTTTGTGGATAAGCCAACATGCCTTATTCACACAGTCCTGCCCCTCCACATAGTATGTAATCCACACTAGAAAGGCCATATTGAGAGACAAATGCCACACAAGTTCATTGGTTTTCAATCCTGCATAATACTCGGTTGTGTGAATATACCACAATTTTTCTATCCATTAATTTGTTGATGGGAAATTAGTGGGGCTGTTTCTATCTCTTTGCCTTATGAGTAGAACCATAATAAACTTGGATGTGCATACATTTGTTTGAGGCATAACTCTGATTCCTTTCTGGTGTATTTCCAGTAATATTTTAGGATAGCTGGATCAAATTATATTTCTTTTTTCCAACTTTTTGAGAAAGCACCAATTTGCCTTCCATAGTAGTTGTACCATTTTACATTTCTACCAGCAGTAAATAAGGGTTCCAGTCTCTACACATCTGCACTAACATTTGTAGTTTGCTGCCTTTTTAACTCTTCTATTTTTGCTGGGTAAAATATCTCATAGTTGTTTTGATTTGTATTGCTCTGATAGCTAAGAATTGTGAATATTGCTTCCTGTGTTTGTTAGCCATTTGAATTTCCTCTGGTGTCTATTCATATCTTGTGCTCATTTTGCAATTGGATTGTTTACCTTTTTTTGTTGAGGTACTGGAGTATTCTGTAAGTTTAAAAGAGAGCCCCTCATTAGATATAGCACTGCCACAATATTTTGCAATCTGTGGGTTGCCTTTTTTCACCCTGTTGGAGAAGGATTTTTATATGCATAGGAGGTTGATTTTTAGAAGGTCTCATTCATCTATTCTATCCTGGTTATAGGATGATGATGATGATGATGATGATGATGATGATGATTATGTTTGGTAGTCTGTAGATTAGGCTTCTAGAGTTGTTCCTAGTTTTTCTCTCATGAATTTTATAGTCTTTGGTGTTACTCATAGGTATCTGAACGATCTTAAGTCGACTTTTGTGTGCAATATGAAGTATAGGTCTTTCTTAAGTTTTCTGCAGATGGTTTCCACTTTTGCCAGCACCATTTATCAAAGAGACTGTCATTACCCACTTAACTGATTTTGTCTCTTTATGAAAAATCAGTTTACCATAGGCAGATTAATTGATTTCTGGCTTTTCAATTTTATTCCATTGATCTGTGCATACTGTACTAATACCGTGTTGTCTTGACTACCATGGCAATCTTTATCAGCACATAAATTCATATATGACATTTTAATTGAAAGCTATATTTGATAAATTATAATTTACTATTAAAATGGATTTGTATCAAATTTCACCTGCATGAAAAATAGATGTTTAATCAGATTAGCAGTATATTGGGAAAGTTACCTTATAGCTCATCAGAACTACCTCGGAGCTGATCCTTTAATAGGTATTTGGAGGGTAAACTTCAACAAACTAAGGTGCTGTTTTTTTAGGCTAGCAACAAAACCACTTACTTCTGACTAGTTAATTTTTAAAATGCTTTTGGGAAATTAATTAGAAATTATTTTATTTCTTATGCAATAGCTAATGCAGATAAGTATATGTGTTGTTATGTGTGGTTGAAGGCCTCTATGAACAAAAGCTCTGAATGCTGCTCTATCTCGAGCCAATTTAATTGCCTCTGACACACCTACCCTCATTACAATCACTAAGTCAATCCATCTCATCCAGGGCCTTCCTCTGCACTGTCCTTCCACCCTTCCAAGCAGGTTGTCCTTCTCCAAGGACTGGTCCCTCCTTGCAGCATGAACAAAGAATGTTGGAGGAAGCTTCAAAATCCTTGCCTCCAAGGAGCAGCCTTGAGGATCAACCAATCACATTCTATGAAGAACCTGTTTGTTCTCTTAGCAGTCCATGGTATATTCAATACTCTTCTTCAGCTCCACAATTCAAAGGAATCAATTCTCCTTCTCTCATCTTTAGTCATTGTCCAGCTCACTGATGCACAGCAAGTAATTGTGAAGCCCAAGGCCTGGATCAGGTGTTCCTTAGTATCTAGACTGACATTATTGCTCTTCAATACTCTGGTGTATGATGACAATCTACCATCCTCAAAATAAATCCTAAATTTTATTTATTCTATTGACTACATAGAAAACATTTTCCCCTAAGGTATAAGATGGTAAATAAACAACAAATCATTTTGTAATTGTGGAAAATATGTCTTAGATTTCTCATTTTGCCATTTTTTTTTAAATAATCCAAGTCAATTGAGTGTTTTTTTATTATTCATATCAAATACAAAATGTGAGTAAATGCCTATTATTTCTAGTGTTGTATACCCTTAAGTATAGTTTTTATAAACATAATTGTCCTAATCAATGCAGTTAGTTTTGGAAAAAAGAATTTTCTTAAAAATGAAAGTTGATCTTTTGGATAAAGCTCTAGTTTTTGTGATAAACGGTCCTGAACATTAACTGTATATATCCTTGTACTCCATCCATTCTATCCTTGTATTCTATCCACTTTCTTTGAGAAATAGCACTTACTGTTTTATTTTCCTGTATTATGAGCTGCAACTGCCTTTTAGAAGGAGACTTTTTCGTTCTTAAAAAAAAAAAATCTCATTTTCACTTTCAAAATCTAGAAAGATCATTGCCTACTTCATCTCATTAACTGTTACTGTCCTTTTTCAGATGGGTTTTGGAGTAAATTTTGGTATATTTCGAAGCATTTGGGAAAAATCTCTGCCCACATTTCACTTTATTTTTTTTTTCTAAATCATGTGAACCTTTAAATATGAAGTTCTGAGTTTCTTAAAACAGCGTGTAATATACCCTATCCTTCCCTAGGTTCTCCGTATCGAGATAAAATCACTATAGCAATTCTCCAGCTTCAAGAGGAAGGCAAGCTGCACATGATGAAGGAGAAGTGGTGGAGGGGCAATGGTTGTCCAGAAGAGGAGAGCAAAGAGGCCAGTGCCCTGGGGGTTCAAAACATTGGTGGCATCTTCATTGTTCTGGCAGCCGGCTTGGTGCTCTCAGTTTTTGTGGCAGTGGGAGAGTTTTTATACAAATCCAAAAAAAACGCTCAGTTGGAAAAGGTAAATGTCACTCTCTTACAATTAAAAACAATTGTTATGATTATAATGAAACAAACTGTTTTTTATCTTTCCAACCAAGGGTAATGCTTAGAGCTGTGGCTGTTCATTGTTTTGTGTAATTATCCAACAAAGATTCAAGTAACGGATTCTGTATTATTCTCATGCTTTTAAAATAGAGCCTAATGCATTTAAATGTAGCCAGCTTTCAGGGCATGTGATGAGCTCTCCTCTTATTTAAGCCTGATAAAAGAGAAACTTGCTGCTGGAAGTTTATTGCATTTAGTTTGATGAAGGAATTTATTTAGTGGACAGAGCAAAAATTAGGAATGTGGACATGCAGTAATAAATATTTTTCAGTAGATAAAATAAGACAAAAACTGGTTAGCAGTTTTAAGTTAAAGAGTAAATATTTTAATTGAAGAATTTTAGAATAATAAATTCTAATGTATGAAGGAAACAGCTCAGACTGTGAAAATTACAAATTTTCACTTTAATTCATATGTGAGTTTATTGTTTTGACATGCAATGTTATTTTTAATGGGTCTTTTGTTCCTTTGTACCAAAGTGTTTAGAAGAATGTGTATACAAACCTCAAAAATATTGATACTGTTTATTTTTTTTTTTAGATTTTAATAGAGTAAGTCTTTTGAAAATAAATATCTACATTCTATTATTGAAAAGTTTGTGACTTTAGGGACAATTTCTAATTATGGTGCTACACCTTCTTTTTTTGTAACTACAAAATGGCATATACATAAAGAAATCAGTTTCAGCTTTCACTTGACATATACAAATGAATAGCTTTAGATATGAGATACTATAAATTAATAACTCTGGACGTGGAATGTTCACTTAAATGTTTTAAAGCTTCTGACACTTTATTGTATTAGTCTCATTGTATAAAAGTAGCCCTTTTATTTCAGTAAAAATTCAACAGTACAGGTTTAATTTTGACACAATGCAGAAGGAAACTACATTCATTTTAATATTTTGAAGTCATAATGAATTTTATTGGTAAAATTAACAGCCAAAGTATGATTTTTTTAAAAAAGTAAGATCATACTGATGCAAAGTGAGAATATGCTGATGATATTCTTAGAAGCATTTGCATCTTTAAAACTTCATTAGAGAAACATTTTGTCATTGTCTTCAGTAATTCAGTCTATTTGCTTATAGTTTCAGAATAAAAATTTTAGAAATATAATTTCAATGTTTTTATTGTTCATGTTAGAAATATTACATTCCTAGAAATATGATTTTTCTAAATAAATATTTCAACAGTTCATTTTTTGTGTGCCATTAAGATAACCAATTACAAGTTTAGTATTTAGATAATCACGCCATTTCCCTTCCCACAATTACCAGGGTGGCTATTTATTTTTCTTGGCTCAATCATACATTTTTAAAGGTATGACTGATCATTAGGATTTAGTACAAGCACTAATATTATAATCATTTTGAAAGAAATTCTCAAGACTAACAAAGAAGAACCATCATAACCCATCATTTAGTTTTCATAAATAATTAACAATAAATGTAAAATTGATCTGGTAAATGAAAGCTTTAGTCAGTCCTAAAACTGACAGACAGAAATTGGGATGTCCAGTTGAAGTTTCTAATCATGAATTTGTAATGGTTTTATTTAAGCTCTAGCTCAGTATTAAATCAATGTTTTACTTGAGAAATAGACATTATTATATTGTCCTTATTTCTATTTGTGCTTTTAATATAATTATTAATAAGTTATATCTCTATGTATAATTTTTCTGTCTATATTCTGGTACAACAGAAATAAAGGATATGAAATTTAATTGTTGAAAATAACCTGTTCTATTGTTATTATAAATGATTAATTGGGATTCTTTTGCATAGCCATCATCTCTCCTGACATCACATGGATCAATCAATCTTTATAAATAGCTTTTGTTATGTACTATTGGGTTGGATCTTATCCATTGGTGATAGTGGGTTTTCAGAGGCTATAAATTAGATGAGAGTAGATTTTCCATTTTCCCCCATAGTGCAGCTGGTAGTTTCAAACTGCATGCCTCTTAAATGGCAAAGCACACCAGTCCTTCTAAAAAAATTAAGGATATTAATATAAAATTATTTACTAATATTTTATTTTGGAAAGAATAACTGTAGTGGTTTTCATGAATATAATAGTCATGGTCCCCAATATCAAAGGCTATCTCCACATAATTTCCATTATGAGATATGTATTCCCTACTTGGGCAGTTGAAGACTTTCAAGATCTGTTCCTGTGTACAACCGTACTTGTGTTTTGTTTTTTGTTTTTTTGTTCTTCTCTATGTTATACACATGTGGGTTTATCCTAAAAATCGGCTTTTTCAGCCGTTACTTTAAGGCCCCTCTTGTCTGCAGCTACCTTAACTCCAGATCGAGGGTCTTGCAAATTATCCACAGCAGTGGGACTAAGATAAGAAAGAAAGTATATCCCACACTGAGTAACAAGACTTGAGGGACACTGGAATGAGATTATGGTGATGGTGGTAGAGAAACTATGGCAATTCTGTGGCAGTGCTTCTTGCGTTTTTGCTGGCCACAGTTAAAGGTTTTGCTGTTCTTGATGATGCTTGAAAGAGAAGCTGACTTAGAACTGCTCTGGGGCAAACTTTGCTCAATGATTGAGAAACCAGAGGTTTCCTGAATTTGTGTGGATGAACTGAAAGCGGAACTTCTGCTAATTAGAGAATTTTTGCTCTTAATCTGGATTGAGACTATTAGACTAAATCTGGATTTACGCTGTGAGATATTTAAATTAGCAGCCAAAAGCCTAATCTGTATACAACGAGGTCTCTTCCATCACACTATCTCATTATTTTATATGTTTTGGGGGTGGTTTTTTTTTTTATTTCTGTTTATCTGCTTATTATACTCTTAGCACATTTAGGATAAAACATACTGTTTTCTTTTTTTCATTAATTTTTTTTATTTTTTATTTTTTTTTTACAGAGGTTTTGGATTTCTGTTCATTCATTGCCGCAATTTTCTCCCTGTCCACCCCTCCCCACCAGCTCGCTTCCCCCTCCGAAGAGAGAAAAAAAAAAAAAGAAAAATTCCTTCATTAGCATACAATTCCCACGTCCCTTCCCCCCCCCCAAAACATAATGTTTTCTATTTCTATCTTCAAAATTTCCAACAGTTCCTGGTGTCACAGTGTCTATTTTTCTATTAATCTTTCTATTGATTTAAATTAATAATAAAGTTTAGAAATGCCTATTATGAAGAATGAAAAAATAATACTTCTAAGATGATAATTGAATATGATTATAGGTTTTTTAGAAATGACCTGTTTTATTTATCTTGGCAAAGCAAGATTCTGGGCTCAACCCATCTTCATATTTTTCCTGAGAATTATGTTTATGTTGAGCTATCCAGCTCTTTAACACCTTACTTAATTCATTAAAATTAGCAACAAGATATTCCTAGAATTTATCATTAGATATGCATGAAGATAGCAAAAAATTTACAGTTTATATATACTATTACAATAATGGCTTTAGTTTGCTTTTCTTCATTTTTATAATAAATGTTTATGAAATTATTCATATCTTAAGAGAAACAAATACACAATGAATGGGTTTTTTTCTGAGAACTTTGAAAGTAAGTAAGAATGTATTAGTCACAATTTCAGATCCCAAGGGCTTTGATATCTTTCTTCTTTCTTTCTCTCCTTTAATGTTCTTCCTTCCAGTAGTTTTTAAAATAACAAATATAATTCCACATATTTGTATAAATATCCTG